TTGCTTTGCCAGATAGAAGCCGTTTTAAATTCAAGACCTTTGTACACATCCAGCGAGGATGTAGACGATAATGAGGGGCTGACTCCTAGTCATTTTTTAATTGGAAGACGAAAAAGTCAGAGTTGTTAAGCTTAGGGTGCAGGAGAATTTGGTAACCAGACCATTAAGGATGTAGTCTCATGTTCCGGCCTACTTTTTAGAGGTTATTTCAAAAAATTTTTTTTGGAATAAAAAATAATGCGATCGGTCCAATTTTCACATATGTTTTTATAGGCATCATAAACTATTTGAAAATATTTTGTTTAATTTATTCTTGTGTAGTTTAATACACTTTATAGCATGCCAAAGTATGCAGATAAAAAAAAAAGGTAGGTCCCTGGCGCAGGTGATTTCGACTGCTAGAGTCATCCGAAACAAAAAATTAGAATAGATTGTTGTTTTGTAAGCTTATGGCTCTGTCCCGTACTAGAATGAAATATTTTCATCAATAAACAACAAAATGACGAACTCACAAAAAAAAGGGCTTTATTTTAAAAAAATTTAAAAAACTTATCTTAAATAAATGATAAAAAAAAAACTAATCATTAAAAATAAATGATTCTAGTACGGGACAGAGGTGTTACTTTTTAGAACAACATATCCAAATTTCAGCTAGATCGGTACCATAGAATTTTGTGAATCACCTGCGCCGCACACAAAAATGTCGTTCCGAGAAAAACGCGTTTAAAGTTTAGACGCTACCGAGAAACTCATACTTTTCGGTGTAGGCGCGCTCTCGATTATGGGCTGTATCTCTGTCATTATTTGATATTTTTATTTGAAACTTTAACAGTACATTCTTAATAAACAATACTATACTAACAATGTGAAAAAAAAAATCGATTTTTTTCAACCTCACACATGAGACTACATCCTTAAATAAAATTTGCCCCCTAGCTGGTGTAAATGATCAAGATCATCTTGATCGTGCAGAAACTCGTCAAAATATATCCAACCCGCCAAGAACAAACTTAGCTTAACTTCTCTGTCTCTGATTATGAATTTCTTGTTTCCAAATTCACAGTGTTTCGATTGGATCGTCCAACTTTTGCAGGTGGTGTCCTCATTGCAGTTAGTATTGAGTACCCTGCTGAACTTATTTCTTTCTCGAATGAGTTCGAATAGAGTTCGGTGAAAATTGTAACTGGCTCGTCTCATATTTTCCTGACCTGTTCCTACATTTTTCCCATGGTTGAAAATATTGTATATTTTAGCCACCTAGAGGCCATTTAGTCTGTTTTTCATTGGTGAAGGACTCTGATTTAATCCTAATCATGGGAGATTTTAACCTTCCCCTCATTTCCTGGATCCCGTCTGAAGAAGACAATTCCCTGCTTTCCAGTTGTCATAACGACTTTATCGATGGCTTAACTGATCTTGCCCTGCTCCAAATTAATCCAATGCATAACACTCATGACAGCTTTAATTAATGTGTCTCACAATGAAGTGTTCTGGCTAAAGCCAGATCGGAAATGGTATTTGGTAAAAATACAAACTTTGGTATTTTTCAAGATAGATTTTTAAGAAGATTTTTAAGATTGATAGATTCCCCTGTGAGGGTAAAAAGATCCTATAGGATTCGCTGGTATACAAAAGGTTTAAAAACTTAAAGAATAGAAAGGAAAAGCATTATAAACGATTTATAAAGACAGGGGAACCTCGAGCAGGAGAGCTGTACCGGCAATTCAAGAGGGAATTTGAATTCCTCAATAAGTTTCTTTACAATCAGTATATATTAGATGTCGAAGCTATCCTTCGATCCAATCCTAAAGCTTTTTGGCGGTTTATTAACAGCAAAAAGTTAAAATCGGACATACCTTCATCCATATGTTAGGGTAATTTAGCAGCCGACTCGGATCAAGGCGTTTCTGAACTTTTTGTGTAAGTAACATGGATGTATTGGACTGTGACCTAGTTGAAGCTACAGGACATTTTACCGAGTCGCTCACACTTGACTTGGATGGTATCTCCCCATTCTTTTTTAAGAAGAGTATCGCTTCCTTTTCTACTCCCCTTCAACTGCTGTTCTCCTTGTCGCTCTCACCTGGTAGATTCCCCTATCGGTGGAAGATTACTTCTGTAACGCCTAAAGGTGGCTCAAGCATTGAACACGATTGTATATACAAATTCTAAAGATAGAGTTTCAAGGGAATGGACCCATGGAAATACGAGACAAACAGCATGGTTTCAAATAAACAGTTTCTAAACGGAATTCATTGGAGTAAGACCATAATTTGGGGCTCCTCTTAAAATGAATAATTTCGGCAATCGCGCAATGAGAACCTAGACCAGCTCTCTGAAAGCCTTGTTGGACTTTGCATTGTCCTGCATAAACTTAAATAAAGTGTCCCGTTTGGCATTGATGACGCGGATGGCAATATCTATCGGTGTGAATTTATGGCTGAGCATAGGGTCGGAAGGAGAGCTTTTGTCAATCTTTCGGGGGTGAGCCAGTCCTTGCTTGCATCTTTGTCCTTGAATCTTTGTCCTTGAGTCCTTGCTTCCAGTCCTCTTTGATTCGAGTAATATTAGCATACGATATATTCCTTCTTAAGGTTTCAGCTGTTATGAATCCACGCGAAGCGCGTCGTGTATCATTGGTTGGCGGGAGTCTAGGCCTCGGCTTTTGTTTTTTATCTTTTTCTATTCTGACTGGGCAGCTTATATTTGTTGTGACGTGGTTACCGCCGCAGTTAACGAACAAGCATGTATCGCTCACACAGCGTTACGAAACAGTAGCATGAGGGCCACGACATTACCAACAAAAAGGGTTCAGGACAGTAGTAGTTGTTAAGAGGAGCCCTAAATAAATAGGTCTTACTCCATGGAGCTCCTTTTGGAAACTGATTTTATTTGGTAAAGTTCTCTTATAAGTACAATACATAAGAATCTTAAAACTATTTAAAACGCATAGCTGACCTGCTATGCGACCCTTTCTCCAGTGCGATAAGCGCACCACTTGAATACATATTTTTGTAGGCTGCAGGGGATCGGTTTTAGATTATGCTGTTTATCTCATATTTCCATGAGTACGATCCCTTGAAACTCTAACTTAAGAATTTCTATAAAAAATAGTGTTCAATGCTTGAACAGTAGTAGTCATTCGAGTGCCAAAAAATTTGCCATCTTTAACATTGAAGTAATTCCTTTCTACGGGAAGCTCGACAGTGACTCTGTATCCACCAAGTTGTGTTATTGTTAGGGAATCTGCTACGTTTGCAAACTTCTTTAGGTTAACATAAAACAAGTTTTTCCTAATTTAAAAAATTTATTAAAGTTTCGTTATGATTTTCTTTAACCAGTATGTTCCACCAATCTGTCTTTTGGGGCGGTATATGTTAAGGACCTCAAAGCCGTTGTCAGTAAATCCCTGTTCAATCTGTAATTTCTGTAAGTTTGAATGTATTCCTTTGAGCACTACTCTAAAGGCCTTTTATTTTTTTTAGCTGATGGTGCCAAAACGGTGGCAGTATTTTTACAGATACAGAAAATCTGAAATCTATTTAAAACTACTTATCAACGCACTGTACGGTGACCTGCTATGCGACCTTTTCGATGAGCGATGATGCGATGGGCGCACCACTTATGCATTTTCTTAGGCTGCTTAGGCTACTAAGCATCGTATTTCCATGGGTCCTGTTGTGTTCTTGTTGAGTTCTATTTCAGACTGACTTTATTGTATGCGAAGCTTATAGAGTTACCAGATTCTTAAAGTACTACATAGGTGTATTAGTGTGTAGAATGGAGGAGTACAAAACGGATGTGAAATTGACAATATATAACACATCTCCTCCCTTAATTAAGAACGAATAGGATTTTTACGTTTTCAGAAATCCTTGGGCTTAAAACGATCTACTTCATGGCGAACACGACTACTTTGCCGAACTGGTATGCCGGATGAAAGTCGTGCTGGTTGTTTTTGCTTTTGTTATTGGTTTGATGACGTGGAGCTCTCGGGTGGCTTAGGTTCAGAATGACTTTGCTGAACGGTTGGCGGAGTTACTGGATAATCTTCTTGTTGTTGTAGGGGATGATTTGAAGAGGGCGGAATATCCGGGATCCAAAAGAACACTGGAGGTTTTTCAATGGAGCTGCTTGCTGAGAACTTCGGTTTTAGCTGGTTGAAATGGCGCTTGATATAACCATTTGTGGTGCAAACCAAGAAAACCATTTTTCCAATTGGACGATCAATAGATCCTTCAATCCACTTTTCTCCCCTTGCATAATTACGAGCGCAGACCATTTGATTTGGGACGTACTTGGTAACTGATAGCTTGGCTTCGACAGGCTGCTCGAAAAGTTGGCTTAGTACGGTTCGGATTGGACCATGGATTAACTCGGCGGGAGATTTTCCGTAGGAATTTGGAGTGAACCTGTAGGAAGCAAGGTATTTAGTAACTGCTGCTCGTAGTGGTATACCGTCTTTGAGGTTCCGATTAAAGTATGGTGATAACGCTTCCTCGCCTTGCTGAAGTTTTTCTGGCCATCCTACAGTAACATACCGTAAGACTTGTTTGAGAAGTTTGTCCTTTTCGATGTGGTTGCGAATGATCTCAGAATTGAATCGATGTGGCAGGCTTCTTCTTCTCTGTCGAAATGTGGATCCATGCCCACGGGAAGGCATCTGCGTTGCCATGAGCAGATGAAGAACGATACTGTATCTCAAAAATATAGGCCATGAGAATGATGGCCCAGCGCTGCAGCCTGTTTGATGTCATTAAAGGCAGATGCTTGCCTGGATTGAAGATCGTTACTAGTGGCTTGTGATCCGTTATAAGGGTAAACTTTCGGCCGTACAAATATTGGTGAAAACGTTTAACTCCGAATATTATAGAAAGTCCCTCTTTTTCGATTTGGCTGTACTTAACCTGATGCTTGTCAAGCGTTTTGGATGCGAAAACAATAGGTCTCTCCTTGCCATCATGTTGGATATGTGAAAGGACTACACCAATACCAAAAGATTATGCATCCGTCGCTAGGACTAGTGGTAGATTTTCGTCGAAATGAGCTAGCTGCGTCGCGTTGATAGTATGGGACTTCAGGGCTGTAAAAGCTTGTTGTTGTTGCGGCCCGAAAATGTATGCTACATTTTTTCTACGAAGTTGGTTTAATGGTGCGGCCAACTGAGAGTAGTTCGGAATAAAGTTGCAATAGTAATTAACTTTACCCATGAATGCTTCTAGTTGCTGCAGATTAGAAGGCGGACGCAACAGTTCAACAGCCTCCAAGCCTGAGGTGTCTGGAAGAATCCCTTGAGCGCTGATTCTTCGTCCTAGGTACTCAATTTCGTCCTTGAAAAAGAAGCATTTCTCCTTTTTGCATCTAATACCATTCTCACGAAGAATACTGAGAACTTGGTCGATTCGCTTTAGATGTTGCTCGCTTGTAGGTGCTGAGATAATGATGTCATCTAAGTAGTTTCCACATCCTTCTACTCCTTTTAGAAGCTGTTCCAAATACCTTTGGAAGATCGCTGGGGCACTGGCAATTCCGTAGGGAAGGCGCTGGTATTGAAATAGGCCAAGGGGTGTGTTGACGACCATGATAGTTTTTGAATCCTCATCCAGTTCCATTTGAAGATAGGCATGCTTTAAATCTATTTTGCTGCCGTGGCGTATTATGTGAAACAGAGACTCTTTTGTCGGTAACGGGTACTGTTCGACATCGATCTGCGCGTTGACTGCTTGCTTAAAATCGCCACATATGCGAATAGCGCCACCTGGTTTTGGTGCTAGTACAATTGGTGATGCCCAATTACTAAATTTGATTGGCTTCCAAATTCCAGCTTGTGTAAGTCTGTCTGCTTCAGCTCTGAATTTGTCCATCTGTGCGAATGGAATTTGACGGCTCTTGAAAAACTTTGGTGTTGCTGACGGCTTTAAAAAGACACTTGCTTTGAAGTCTTTTATGACACCCATGGCTGGTTCGAACACTTCGTTGTACTTGCTGCAAAGGTCACGTAATTCGTCTTCGTGCACCTCTTGAACGTTTGATACTTGCATGATATCAAAGGCGAAAATTTTGAATAAATCCATACCAAATAGATTGTTTGACGTCTCAATGTTCGCAACAATAATGACTACTTTCTTCTCTTTTTCACCGCACTTTGCAATTGTGTGCAACTCCCCAAGCAATGGTATTGGTGTATGACCAAACGCATGTAAAACTCGGGAACAATTGCGTAGTTTTGGCTTATTCAACAGCGCGTATGTAGTAGAGTTGATCACTGACGCTGTGGCTCCGGAATCCATTTGAAATGATATAACTTTGCCGTGTATTTCAAGATCTATAAGAATCTTGCTCTGCTGACACTTGACTTGACCTGTAACACTGTTTACAGCTTCAATCGTTTCGATTTCGTTTGCTTGGGATTTGCGACTTTTTTGCATTTGCCATTTACTTTTGTCTTGCTTCGACATGCATACAACAGCTATATGTCCTTTTCTACCGCACTTGTGACATACGGCATCGCGAAACTTGCATTTCTCTCTGGCATGATTGTGTCCACAACCAGAGCATGATTTTAGCGAACTTTTGTTTTATTTGGCATCACTTTCACCACCACCAAGAAACGGTTTCTTTGTATAGGTGTGAACTGCGTTTATTGGGTCTTGCTTTGATACTGTTTCTTTGAGGGCTGCCACGGTTTTTGTTGTTGTCTCATAGGTTTCTGGAACTATAAGCACATCTTCAAGAGTTGGCTGGGACTTCTGAAGAGCAAATGCACGGACGGCATCGTATGGTGTATGTACTATGATCTGATCTCGAATCATTTCATTTACATAGTTAGAAGAACAGCCGCTGGCATTACAGACGAATTGGCATTCCCGAGCGATCCCGGCTATCCACTCTCTGTGTGTTTGTGAATGCTTCATCTCCCTTTTAAAAAACTCATAGCGAGCAGCAACAACGTGTCTTTTTGTTGTGAAATGTTCTGTTAACTTGTCTGTGAGTTCCTTGTATGTATACGTGTTCAAATTGTTGCTCCCGAACAGATTTTTCAATAGTTCGAATATGTTTATGCCACACCACGAAAGAAAATAAGCCTTTTGCTTTATTTCTGCACTAACCGAATACGCGTTAAAATGCTGGGTTAACTGTTCAAGGTAAGACTCCCAGTTTTGATTGTCTTTGTCGAATTTGTGGAATGGGGGACACGCAGATAATTCACCCGTGTGGCTTGAATCACCCTGCCCTGGAGAAGCGTTTCTATCCATCATTGCTTGCATCCATTTTTGTTGCTGTTCCATAATGTCTCCATAATAAGCATTTACAAGCTTGCTGTTGAGCAAGTATCGATTGGATCAAATCCTATATAACTGAACGATCGGAAATGGTATTTGGTGAAAATACAAACATTTGTATTTTTGAAGATAGAAGCTTGGGACTTTTTTTTAGATATTTTATTGTAATTAATTGGTTTAATATAATATATGTATATAATAATAAATTCTCATAAGGATCGGCCAACTATATCCGATGTTTGCGATATATATTCCCGATGGGGATATCCGCGACTACGAGTTAAAAACGGTCAACTTCGGTTTCAATTGTGCCCCGTTCCTAGCGATCCGTGTCCTGCAACAGCTCGCTGACGACGAAGAGTCGAAGTATCCGCAGGCAAGCCAAGTTATCCGGGTTTATGTACGTTGATGACGTTCTCGCGGAGGCAGACTCCAAAACTGAAGCCCAAGCTGCGATTCGGGAGCTGAAAGGGGCCGTAGAGTCAGCAGGGTTCAAACTTAGGAAATGGACGTCGAATAGCAGGGCGATCCTGATTTCCTCGACATCGATGCAGAAAGCACGGCCAAGACACTCGGCGTGTGGTGGAAAGCGACGACTGATGAGTTCTTTTTTGTTCCGCCAGAATTGACTTCCGGCTCGTCTTTCACGAAGCGCCAAGTCCTCTCCCAAATTGCCAAATTGTTCGATCAAGCAGGTTGGCTCGCTCCTTTCATTGTTCGGGCAAAAATGTTCATGCAAGACATTTGGCTTCTGGATCTAGGGTGGGACGACGCCCTCCCTCAAGATTTCTGTCAGCGATGGGTTGACTTCCTCAAGAATTACTCGGTGCTCGATCAGATTCGTGTTCCTCGGTGGGTCGCGTTCCGACCACACCTAAAGGTCGAGCACCATGGGTTCTGCGACGCTTCACAGAAGGCGTACGGTGCAGCAATTTACGTCCGTGTCGAGGTTGGGTCCACGGTAATAGCGACCCTGCTGACTGCAAAGACTCGAGTGGCCCCAGTTAAAGCGGTGTCGCTTCCTCGGCTAGAACTGTGCGGTGCCTTGTTGTTCTCCGAGATGGCCACCGCCGTTCTGCCAAAGATACCAGGGGCGGCGTCTGCCCTATACTGTTGGACCGACTCGACTATTGTCCTCGCGTGGCTCCAGAAGCCAGCGTGCCAGTGGACAACGTTCGTGGCCAACCGGGTGACCAAGATCACCCAGTTCACCGACGTGCAGAAATGGGCACATTTCCGCTCCGAGCAGAACCCTGCGGATCTCGCTAGCCGGGGCGTAGCTCTCCAAAATCTTGCGGATAACCAGTTGTGGAGGCACTGAACTCGAGAAGCGAGCAGTCAAGGTCCATGTCGCGAAGGCGCACACCGAAGATCTTCTTGAACGTTTTGAGGCTAATGAGGTTACGTCGGCTGAACGTCTTCCAGTTTCCGTCACTCAGCGCAGACACTTCGTCTCTGAGATGGGCTGCTTAAGCAAAAAGCGTCCAGTATCGGCATCCAGTCCGATTCAAAATCTGAACCCCTTCGTGGATTCGCAAGGCCTTATGAGAGCCTGCGGCCGGGTCACGTCTTCTGAGCTTCTCCAATGTGACGGACGGCACCCTATTATCCTTCCGTACGACTGCCATCTGTCTCGACTCCTGGTTCAATTTACGCATCGCATCACGCTGCACGGTGGCAAACAGCTGATGATCCGTCTGATCCGGGCCAAATTCTGGATTCCAAGGGTGAGTAATTTGGTCAAGTCCGTCATCTATTCTTGTAAAGTATGTGTCATTCACAAGAAGAAGTTGCAGACGCAACTCATGGGAGAGCTACCTAAGGAACGGACGTCCTTCTCGCGCCCATTCACGTCACTCTGCGCTGAGTGACGGGGGCATCATTGAATTATGCCGGTCTTTTCGAGATAAAAAACTATACGGAGAGGGCTGTCTCATCACAAAAAGTTATGTGTTGGTGTTTGTGTGCTTCTCCACTAAGGCCATCCATTTAGAGCCTACGTCGGGCCTTACGACCGAGAAATTTCTGGCGGCTTTCGCACGATTCGTGTCCCAGAGAGGATGCCCCCATCAAGTGCAGTCCGACAATGGGAAGACCTTTGTGGGGGCAGCTGCCCTACTATCCCTCGATTTTTTCCAGAGCCTAAAACGGGGCTGTGACCGGTGCCTATAGTCACCAGCAGCTTCTCTGACATTTCAATCCTCCGGGAGCTCCCCACATGGGGGGCCTGTTGGAAGCAGGCGTCAAGAGCTTTAAGACCTTGTTCTACAAGTCCACCTCTACGCGGAAATACACCTTTGAGGAGCTTGAGGCGAAGATTAAGGCGTGCCTGAATTCGCGGCCACTCACGCCAATGTCCGAAGACCCTGCTGATCTGTTGGCTCTTACTCTATTGTGCTGTCTCGTGGCTCTGCCCGTAGTTCCAAATCGTAATTCACACCAGTTCTGATAATGTTGTTTTGTTTCTTCATCATATATTTTGGATCTATCTGCCAGCGACGATCTCCGTTGTCCTGGGCGCGGGTATGTACCCGCGTATCATGCAGCCGGCCTTTCTAAAGATCTAGGACGGGCTGGCAATGGCCCAGAGCACCGTTTTTGGATGGGTCGTGACCTGTCACCAACCGTAACGACAAGGGATCTGTTGCAACCCGAGTGGTTGCAAGGGGGCGGGATGTTTAGGTGAGGGGCCGTTGTGCCACCGCTCATCTGGGCTTAAGAGCGCATCCGCGGTCGCCACTCTATGCACGAAACTTTCTCTCTCTCGGGTCCAAATGCAGCGGTCGGCCGTCATCGATCGTTCGCTCTGGCTGTAGCGGTTTTTTTTCCCTAAGTTAAGTTAGTTCCATGTATGCAGCAGAATAAAGCTGACGTGAATGCGCCCTTGAATTTTTACCCACGACGCCCCCGATTTTTTTTTTTCGAGCCTCCGGGTTAATTTTCGTTCGCGATGTGAGATTTATTCCTCTGTGCCTTCTAAAACCTCCGGAACCTTTTTGCGGCCCAACACTAAGCATATTAAAAATAGTATTAGGGATCTGGAAAGAAATTAATATCCTAAATTTAGACATAGTTGGAAAATTTGTCTTAAAGGAACTGGTAATACTAAAGAAAGACATTTAAGGAAAGCTCCTAAAAAAAAAATTTCAATTGGTCCATCGTATTGGTCTATGGTATTAGATGCGACAAGATGAGCGGAACAAACAAAAATCTAGCAGTTTCTGGAATTAAATCCTGCATGAAATCTAGGCGTCATTTTCCTAACCTAAAGTTTTTTAAAGCTCCGCCTCGGATTTAATTTTTGGACACATATGGAGAAAAAAATGTGGCCGTATCTTTTACAAAATCTAAGAATTTGTAAAAACCATTTTTCGACGGCTTTCATTGGGAAAAAGTACTTGAAAAAGGAAGCTATTTCGACATTAAATTTGGATATGGCGTTGAAAGATGTGGCCTTTGAGGAAACATTTGAGCTAATCGGCGAAGCATATATTGAAGAAGACCAGTGTAGTAAATGCGAAAACAATGTTAAGAGCCAACAAGTTCTCTAAAAAAAAAAAACAAACCCTATTAAAAAAAATTAAATATCTTCGAAAAAAATTAACACAAAAATATCCATCTATTGGTATAATGGTATAATTGACAGAATTGATTCCATTGAACATATTTGTCCAGAAACAAAAACGTTTTGCAAACTACTTTTGAGTAGACGACCCAAGGAGTACTCTCCAGAGGTACAATGATTGGGCCAAAACATTTTCTATATGTCGCATTCAGCATATTCTTTTCTAAGGGACAATTTAAATTTGAACATGCCCCACGTAAAAACTCTTTACCGATGGGCTCCTATGAAATTACTACAACCTGGTTTAACAAACAATTCCTTTAAAAAATTAAAAAAAATGACTGCAGAACTAAAAAAAAATAATGATTCCCAAGTTGTCCTTGTGATGGATGAAGTGGCTATTTGAAAAGAGTTGAGGTATATTTTAATTTAGATTTAATAGATTGATAGGTTTGAGTGTATAGGGCTACAAATAAATAATTAAGTAGCTAACGAGACTTGCTTATTTTTAATAAAATCAATCTTTTCAAATTGGAGTATGATTTTAAATTATTTTGTTTCCGAAAATGGCCTTTCTGCGAATAACCTATGTGAGGTTATAAAACAAAATTTGATAATTTTATTTAATTTAGGGATAGATGTAAAGGCCATAATATGTGATCAAGCTTCTGCCAACCGAAGTTGCTATTTTCAGCTCGGGGCTACTACGGAAAACCCTTTTTTTATATCAAAATAATCGTATTTTTTGTATGTACTATTTTCCACATTTAATAAAATCATTAATAAATGGTCTCCAGGTCTTGAAGGAGTTGTAGCAGAAGGAAGAAGACCAAAAAACAAAAATGTGCACAAAATTAACAAGAAAGCATATATTTCAAAACACCTTTGAGAATATGCGAGTGAAATATGCGACACAATTGTTTAGTAAAACCGTTCAGGCAGGCATTAAAACCATTTGTGATACTGTGAAATTTAGTTCAGTCTCTAACTATGTAGCCATATCTACTGCAGTATTTATAGAAAAGGTGGATAAAATTTTTGATTGCATGAATAGTAGGAATTTATATGGACAAAATAAACACAGATCAGCGTTGCAAAAAAATAGCGAGTCATTAGAATACATATTTTAATATTACATAAAGGACGTTCATTTCGTAAATTTCGTAAAAAAAAAAGTTTTCTTTTGGATGAAATTGGGATGACCTTAAATGCCATTGTCATGTTATCTTCGGACCTTTTTAAGAACGAAACTAAATTTTTTATTATGACAAAATCCTTTGACCAGGACTGCTTAGAAAATAATTTTGCTGTGCTAAGACAAAGGGAGGGAAATAATCATAATCCTTCAGTGGCTGAATTAAACTCGACCATGGCAAGAATAATGTCTTTTAAAGTTATTAGATATTGTTCATCTGCAAAATGTGAAATTGACGAGCCTCTTGAGCGACCATTTATTTTAATGACCCCTGAAGAAAATTCTTATGACGTAGTTCAATTACTTGACGAAGACAATTATAGACAGTTGCAACATAGATACCATACTTGACATTGATAATGACTATTTTGGATCTCTTAATTTTAACTTAAAACTTGTGTCTGAGAGGTATTTTATAGGTTATGTGGCCTCAAAGACCCTTCCAAAAATAAATTGAGACGCTTGCAAAAAATATGAAACAGGACGAAAGGATATCGGCTCCGAGTGAAATATTTTTATTCAATATACATTATTGAATAAATTATATTCAATATGCATTATAATTTATACAAATATTATCACTTGGATAGTGATTTCGGCAGTCTAATTGCACCATCTAAATATTTTGTAAACGCCTCATCGACGCACATAGGAGTCTTTGATAAGATTTTTAAACAACACCCAGAGGCAATTGGTTTAAGGGCAAAAATTATAGAAGCATGTAAAAAATCGACACCAGTATACTTTGACGGAGATTGTAAGGACCACAAAATTAAAATATTAGAGTTTTTATTATTAGTTTTAATACGAAAACATTGCGCGTGGGGTCTAGAAAAATGTACTATTAAAGAAAAAAAATTATGTCCCGTAAATAAAGTTCTAAGGGAGTCCGTCCGCCATTTTGTCATCCACCACGTCCTATTTTCCCCTTTCCGCTAATTTCTCATAATTAAATTAATAACAACATAATTATTTTTACAACAATAGTAATATTATGAATTTAAAAAGAATAAAAATAAAGTAAATATAAACAAATTAAAAATAAACAATAATAAAAGTTAATATTAAAAAAATAATCAAAAAATTTACTTTCTTAATAACCGCATGGACCTTCTCTCACCCGTGGAATCGAACCCTGATCGAACCTTTTCATCTAGGCTAACCTTGAAGTTATTTTATGATACTTAAAATTGGTGTTAAAGGAAGCGCGATAATCCATACCAAAAACAGAGCTGAAGAGGAAGGATAATAGAAGATACATATTTCTGATCTCTTTGCTCTCACACTGGTTCGATTTGAACGTTTCAAACTTTTATCGTTCCAAAGATTTTACGATCTAAAAATAGAATTCTGTCTTTCCCTCTCTCTTCTACCAGCCGTTTATCGTGTAACCCGCTCTCAAATGTTTTCATTATTACAGCGGGTTCCACGACGGAAAAACGACGAAACTCGCGAAAAGACGATTGCTGAGGTTCAAGAACTTTAGATGGATAATTCTCTGGAAACCCTTAAAAATTTAGTAAAATCGCTTCCTGGACGCTTACAAAGGGTAACAACGCCAGATGGGCTATATTTTTTATAACCTTTTTAAAAAATTTTGTTAACCATTTAAATTTATTTGTTTTTCTAATAAACAAAACACATAACACAAAATACTTTTGTCCAGCCAAAATTGCATTATTTCTTACATAACATGTCATAGCAAAGAAACGAATTAACTTACATATCAGTACGATCTCTCTCAACTCTATAAATAGAAGCTCTCTCGAGAGAGTTAAACAAATACCGTTACTTCTACGAGTAAAGAGAAACACGCGATAGTACATTGGTTGATGCGTTGTCAAAATATTTATGGCCACCATTTTATCACTGTGAATAAGGCGTTTTAATTACATTGAATGGATGTAAATTGGATTTCAAATTATATTGTAAGCGCCTGTTAAACAGCATTAAGTGCTGATACGGATGATGCTACCTTTAAAAGCGTCCCTTGTCAGCTTGGGGAATATGCATTTCAAAATGAGAATGTCCTAAGAGATGCTTTTATGACTACACCTATTTTAATTGTATTTTAACATTTATTTCTACACATTGGCAGCCCACAATCCTGATGAACGTATTGTGTTCCCTCTAGCTTATGCTGTTCTTTCGAATTATTCCGCTTATGATATTGGTCACTTTTTATGCGACATCAATGCGAGCTTGCGAAACTTATAAAATTAAATTACCAATATCTAAGCGGATAGAAAAAGATGTTAGTTTTGCCATAATTCATGCAGTTATGAAAGAATTTAACAACACAGATATCATTGGGTACAATAACACAATAACATGTGCTTTCGCTATTTATACGGTAAAAGTGAAAGTTTTCCTGCTGTAGTCATTCAGTTTTGTACGAGCCATTATGCAAAAATAAGGTGCTCCGACAGTTGGCGTATTTCATTGCGAGATTTTATAAGAAATGCTTTAGGTTTGGCATTCAATATATTTAAAATAATTGATTTCGAAGATTGGTTCAAAAGTTTAGTAACCATTTTTCTGTCCCCAAACGTCAATGATATGGATAGTGAAGCTATATTCTCTTTCAAAGATAAGCAACCATTCACATTTGAGTCCCCTATTACCAATTCTTGGAATCCGCGTTTGGGAAGAGCTGCAATATAACTTTGAGCACTATATCTGAGAAAAGTGACTTTCGAAAGCGATTCTGCATTTTTGTCGAACAAATTACTGAATGGCTTTCCACCCAACTGGTCGATTTAATTTTGGCAAAGTATATAGTTTTTTCTCCATTGATCCTTAATGCAGAGACCCTTTTTTTTGTAGTGGACTGTATGTTTTATTGTTCTTGCTTGTTTCGCTGTCTTATTGGTACTTGAAGAAAATTGGCAATGTTGCCATAGGTGCTGCTTATTTCTAGTGTGCACACATTGTTTTTATCTTAAGTCAAAAATATAAAGATGGCAAAACTTAATTACTTAGCGATAGTTTCCAAACATCCCGGCCCACCCTGAAACACGGTTTCTGAATGAGGTAATTCCGCAATTTTCGTTATTGGCCGGGTCAATTCTCCTGTTGCCATCTTGAGCCTTACTGCTCGCACGACGTTGTCTTTTCCTGGGTAGGTTTCGATCACCCTCGCCAGGTGCCATGATGCTGGTGGTGTGTTGGACTCCTTGACGAGCACAACGCTGCCGATATTGATGTTGGGGGTTTCCTTGGTCCACTTTGGCCGCTGCTGAAGACTAGTACATCGGTACATCGATTGGATACTCTGCCAGTATCCCAAACGGCCCAAGATCCGCCTCCGGGATCGTCGTAAATGGTCGCCCGATCAGGAAATGGGCTGGTGACAGATAGTTGCTATCTGTATCCGACGTGTAGCATAAGGGTCGTGAGTTGACCACCGCACTGATCTGCGCCAGCAAGGTGCGCATTTGCTCATGTGCTAGTGTGCTGCTGCCAATGACTCGTCGAAGATGCAGTTTAACACATCGAACTGCTGATTCCCACTTTCCTCCCCAAAGTGGAGCACGAGGTGGGATGAAGGTCCATTGGATACCTTCGTCTGCTAGTGAGTTCGCTACGTGATCCTTCTGTTGTGTTGAGTTCAGTAGCTGCTGCATTTCATCCAGGGATCGCCTGGCTCCGATGAAATTTGTTCCGTTGTCGCTGTACATGCGTGTACATTTGCCTCGTATTAAGAAAAATCGTCTTATTGCCGCCAGAAATGTTTCCGTGGATAAGTCGGTGGCGAGTTCTAGATGGATCGCCGATGTAACCATACATACAAATAGGCATATGTATCCCTTGCTGATGCGCGGCTTGCGCACCTTAGCGTCCTTCAGAAGAATTGGTCCTGCATAGTCGCATCCAGTGTTTACGAATGGCAGTGCTTGCGTTATACCACTAACCATACAGCATATAGACAACCCATTTCATACAACGAAAATGGACGCGAAAATTTCTTGCTACAGGCCCCAGCAGGCCCCAGAGCGGATTTCTTACGCTCTCTTACGCTCATCGTTCGTTCATCTTACGCTCATTCTCGCATTAAATGTTTTCTGTTTCTCAGTCTCTAAACGGAGCGCGATGAAGAAGGTTGGCCTGCGCTTCGGTTGATCTTTGTATGTATGCGTGTCACACATTCACATACATGGGTGTATGTGTGCGTGCGATTTCGTTTCGAAGCCAGCGCACAAAATTTTGATTTTTCTTACTTTTAAGGCTTGCTACCCTAACAAAATTCGGGTATTCGTTATTTGATGAAATGACGAAAGAAATTATATTATTTTGTATATTATATTTTTTTATTATTTCAGCATACATTTTTAATTTATTTAGGAATAAGATTAAGTGTTAGTAGTAAAATGTTTTCTGTATATATATTTTTACGAATCATTAAAAATCAATATACTGAGAAAGTGTCAGAGTATATTTCGGTCGGAGTCACTTAAAGCGCCGATTGCTTTTAAGTTTTTGTTGTTCTGCAAGAGGCTTGTGCATGCCTACTCTAACGATGGAATGATTTTTAGGGGAGGGTGAAGACACGAAAACAGCTGATGGACTTGTTTACCTTTTTTGTTTACAATTTTTCAGGCACTTGTTATTATATTTTGGGTTATTGTGAGATTTAATTAAATTATTGTCGTTAATTTAATAATTTCCTTATATATATTTCCTTATATATAATAACTTTAAAAAGTAATTTAATTCTTCACCCGTCTTCACCCTCCCCTAAAAATCATTCCATCGTTAGAGTAGGCATGCACAAGCCTCTTGCAGAACAACAAAAACTTAAAAGCAAACGGCGCTTTAAGTGACTCCGACCGAAATATACTCTGACACTTTCTCAGTATATTGATTTTTAATGATTCGTAAAAATATATATACAGAAAACATTTTACTACTAACACTTAATCTTATTCCTAAATAAATTAAAAATGTATGCTGAAATAATAAAAAAAAATAAAATAAAAAATAATATAATTTCTTTCGTCATTTCATCAAATAACGAATACCCGAATTTTGTTAGGGTAGCAAGCCTTAAAAGTAAGAAAAATCAAAATTTTGTGCGCTGGCTTCGAAACGAAATCGCACGCACACATACACCCATGTATGTGAATGTGTGACACGCATACATACAAAGATCAACCGAAGCGCAGGCCAACCTTCTTCATCGCGCTCCGTTTAGAGACTGAGAAACAGAAAACATTTATTGCGAGAATGAGCGTAAGATGAACGAACGATGAGCGTAAGAGAGCGTAAGAAATCCGCTCTGGGGCCTGCTGGGGCCTGTCGCAAGAAATTTTCGCGTCCATTTTCGTTGTATGAAATGGGTTGTCTATATGCTGTATGGTTAGTGGTTATACGTACGCTGGGTAGATCTGCCATACGTTGATGCATTGTATGTTGTCTCTGTCGAAAGCACGCCAAACAGTTGTGTGTGATTTTACGTATCAGGTTCCGTGCGCCGAAAATCCAATATCGTTGCCGGACAATGACGAAGAGAGATGAGACTCCAGGATGCAGGTTGACTCGGTTCTCATGTTCTATTATTAGGAGGGTGATCCGATGAGCCTTTGGAAGCAAAATGGGATGTTTTGCCTCTGCCGAACTTCTGTGAGTGATTCGTCCTCCCACTCTGAGCAGATTGTCCTTGTCGATGAACGGTGAGAAATTTACCAATTTTGATTGGTTTCCTAGAGGCTTGTTAGCGAGTAGTAGCTGGAAGTCCTGTTGAAAACCAGCTTGAGCGTGTTGCAGCCATCGAATTCTGGCCGACTTGATCTCGTCAAAGGTGAGAGCAGTTGATGTTCGTTTTGAAGACGGGTGTTTCATGCGATGAATGAATCGCAAAACATAACCGAGCGTGTGTATAAGCTTCAGCCAAGATGAGTTGCGATTTAGAAGCTTATCCAAAGGATTGTCCGTTGTGACAATTACCTGCGCAGCAAGGCAGTTAGCTTTGATCTCACTTTGTATGCGTTTGTCTGAAAGTGAAGAACAGTTGTGTGAATTGTTCAACTTTACCAAAAATTGATCCTGGTCCCTCAGCCATGACGGACCCTTCCACCACAATTGGAAGTCAATGAGCTCGGATACGCCCAAGCCTCGGGACGCACAATCCGCTGGGTTCGATTTTGAGTCCACGTGCCGCCATGCATGCTTAGGTATGGTTTCCAAGATCTCGGCGGTGCGGTTCCCAACAAACATCTTTAGTTGGGCTGGTGAGTACGCTAGCCATGATAGGACTATTGTGCAGTCGCTCCATGCATAGATAGTCAAATCCTTGTGCTTTAATCCAGCCTTGATGGATTGCAAAAGTTGGCTCAGAAGAAATGAACCGCACAGTTCCAGGCGTGGCAGAGATTGTTGTTTTAAAGGTGCCACCCTTGTCTTTGCTGCAAGTATGGCTACCGAAATGGTTCCATCGTCCTTAACCATTCGGCTGTACACTACGGCTGAGTATGCTTTCGTGGATGCGTCTGAAAATCCGTGCAATTCGATCTTGTCGGTGTCGCTCTCGACCAAGCGTGGTATCTGGAGTTGTGGTAGGTTTTCTAAATCTGCTCGCCATTTGAGCCACTTGTCGGTTAACTTTTTCGGAAGTTCGTCGTCCCAATTCAAATTCAACAGCCACAGTTTTTGAAATAGTATTTTGAATTGAACTACGGTTGGTGCTAATAGACCGAGAGGGTCGAATATGCGTGACACATCCGACAGCACTTGCCTCTTGGTGCAGCTTGGATTTTTTGCTAGATTCACATTGTAGGACAATGTGTCCTTCTTAGGGTGCCAATGCAGCCCTAGAACCTTTACTGATGAGTTTACTGATTCGATACCCATTTCCCGAGCTCTAGCTTAGCACAGGACATCAGTTGGACGAGTTCGTCCCGATTGCGGATCCTCTCGCCATAGGATTCTCTGAAAGTTTCTATGTTTTTCGCTCACCCAGATTTGACGGAACATTTTGACTATGTCCGCTGAAAATACGTATTTGTGCATACGGAACCGCAGGCACACAGCAAACAGGTCTCGCTGAATACTGGGTCCAATCGACAGTGTGTCGTTTAACGCCTTGCCTTTGGTGTCCCGGTATGAGCCGTCGAAGACTACTCTGAGTTTCCGACCCAATACAGGATGATGAGGTAGATAGAAATTCCTTTCGTTGGGAATTTCGCTCGGTGAGATTTCTCGCATGTGTCCTAGACTCTGATATTCCCTCATAAAGTTTACATAATCCTTACGTAGCTGATGATTTTGTGATAAACGGCGTTCAACCGATTTGAACCGCTGCAAAGCTCCTTGAAGGGTATCTGCAAATTCAGGATCTGATGATGTAAAAGGAAGCTCCACGATGTATTTGCCATTATCGTCCCGAGCGTGGGTGTTGAGAAAGTGCTCCTCGACCTCTTTGTCCTCAGGTTGAACTTCTGCCTTGCGATGAATGCGTTCCAGCTCCCAGAATCGTCTGAGAGTGGCATCAATGTCGACTGTTGTTGTGAGGGCCATAGTGTTGCTCGCCCGTGGTGCAAACAGTGATGTATTCACCCATCCAATAATGGATGAAATAGCGATTAGCTTGCCTTTGTTGTCAAATATCTTTCTCCCAGTAATAGCACTCCAAACATGCTCGCTGCCCAAAAGAATATCGACTGGGCCACTTGTACTGAACTGTGAATCTGCTAGTTGTAGATCGTTGAAGACTTGTAGTGCAGACGCGTCGATGCTCTGCCTTTCCAATGATGAGGTGATCTTTCCAAGCACGTGAGCCTGGACTACCAGTTGATTCTCTGATATACGGGATTGGATGCGTAGGGTGCTGCATCCCCTTGTTGTGTCTGCTTTAATCGATGAAATTCCAGTGACCAATATGCGGGATGGCGTACGCGCCAAACCAAGTGCGTGTATACAGCGTTCAGATACATACGACAGTTCTGAGCCTGTGTCCAAAAGGAGTCGGCATGCTACCAAATCCCCGTTTGCGTTTTAAACGTTGACCATAGCCGTGGGCAGGGTGCTTCTGTTCCATCCAGTTGATTGAGTTGAACTTGCAGTGCCTTGTGCACATAATATTGCTGCGGAGCCTTCTGTTTGTGCTATAGGACTAATAGTCACCGGTGAGATGTGCGCGTAGGGATCATCCTGATCCTCGCCAGTTTGAGCGATTGTACCAATTGCGTGTTGCGTACTTTGCAGATGCAATAGTGTATGGTGCTGAGCTTTACATTGTCTGCAGTTGAACGTTGATTTGCATCTTCTGACCCCATGACCTGGCTTCAGGCAATTGTAGCATAGCAATTTCTCCATGGCAAACGAGATTCTCTGTCCTGCAGACATACCCAAAAATTGTGGACATCCATACAGACGATGTTCTGTGGAATAGCATTTGCTGCACTTGTTTCCATCAAGCGCAACTAACGAATGTGTGACCTTCCTTGTTTTGTCACCAATAGAGGCTGTCGTTTTCCCTCCAGTTGTTTCGCGTTTGCTTAGCTCTAGCTCCTCTCAACGCGCATCCAAGAATTTAAAGAATTCTTCTAGTGTGGGTGAGTCTGACTCCATACTGGGCTCGATCCACCTACGTCGAGTATCTGCGTCCAGTTTTTCCAACGCCAGGTAGATGATCCAACAGTCTCGTCCTGTTTCCTCAATGGCATCCAAACCACGCACGATTTCGTTTGCGCCGTCTGACACCTTCCGCAAGGTTGCTGCATCAGACTTTGTTGTTGTTGGCAGCTTCATAAACTGCTCCATAAATGAATTCACGATGTGCCGTGGACGATTATATCTTTCGTTCAGTCGCTCCCACGCTGTGTTGTAAGCCGCATCCGTAATATTTAGATGTCGCACCAAGTTAGCAGCTTCGTCGATTAGAAGGGATTTCAGATGATGAAATTTGTGCGCATTTCTCAAATTCGCCTTGTTGTGAATTGTGCTCTCGTAAATGTCCTTGAAAGCTGGCCACTCAGAATAGTTGCCAGAAAACCGTTTAATTTGAATTTTAGACAATTCGCTTTGTGCTGATGCCTCTACGAATTGTGCGGTACCTGGATTCGCCGCACTGACGTCACCTCTTGTAGGTCTTGGCAATTGTGCAGTGGCTCGATCTGCCGCCAACTGCTCGAACAATTGTTGTTGTTGTTGTAGCAAACTTATGATTTCGTCGTTGTTGATTTGCAGCCCGTTGCTGCCGTTCTCGCTACTCACAGTGGATGGGCTAGGTCTTGTACCTGCCATCGTCGAAAGTAATGCGTGCGCCCGTAGATACTTTCCCTCATAGAAAGCGTTGTCTGGCTCCGGATCCACATAGCTGTCTACCTCATCTAGAACAGCTATTTCGTCACCAAATCGAATGAATTCCTTCCATGTTGTGTTGAGATGCTCCAGCCGCGTAGACGCCTCCGCCGGTGTGGCGTCTGATTGGTGCGCGTCCTCAGCCCAAGCCAAGCTCCGTGTGATATTGGCCTTGAGTCTGGCGCGTCCCTTCACCAATGCTTTTAATTGCTCCATTGAAGAACAATTACCGTGAGAGCCAATGTACAGAAAACAACAAAAACATCCGGCTCGAAGGACCAAACAATGATCCTTAATGCGTAGAGCCTTTTTTTTGACTGTATGTTTTATTGTTCTTGCTTGTTTCGCTGTCTTATTGGTACTTGAAGAAAATTGGCAATGTTGCCATAGGTGCTGCTTATTTCTAGTGTGTACACATTGTTTTTATCTTAAGTCAAAAATATAAAGATGGCAAAACTTAATTACTAAGCGATAGTTTCCAAACATCCATTTTGGACCAAAACAAGAAAGTAAAGCTAACTTCGGGCGGAGCCGAAGTTTATATACCCTTGCAGTTAAAACTGGATATATATCGCAAACATCGGATCTAGTTGGCCGATCCTTATGGGAATATGAATATATAATCCAATTTATTACAATACAAAATCAAACAGAAGTCTCAAGCTTCTATCTTCAAAAATACCAAAGTTGGTATTTCAACCAAAAACCATTTCCGATCGTTCAGTTATATGGCAGCCATAGGATATAGTCGGCCGATCGTTATGAACTTTGGTAGGTCTGATTAACTGATCAAAAATAGAATGTGTACCAAGTGCCAGCTTTCTATCATCAAAAACACGAAAGTTGGGTCATTTCCGATCGTTCAGTTATATGGCAGCTATAGGATATAGTCGGCCGATCCTTACGAAATTTGGCATGTCGTATTATTTTGCTTATGTAAATATAGCGCTCATGAAAAATTTAAATTCTCTAACTCTAAAAACACCGAAGTTATACCATTTCCGATCAATCAGTTATATGGCAGCTATAGGATATAGTCGGCCGATTCCGCTCCGACTTATATACTGCGTGCGAAGGAAAGAAGGGAGTGTGCAAAGCTTCAAGTCGATAGCTTTAAAACTGAGAGACTAGTTTGCGTAGAAACAGACAGACGGACATGCTCATATCTACTCAGGAGGTGATCCTGATCAAGAATATATATACTTTGTAGGGTCGGACCAAAATTATAATACCCTCTGCAAGGGTATAAAAATAAACACAAATTAAAATACAACATTTAAACAAATTAAAATACAAAATGTAAACAAAAAAAAACTGGTTCTAGGAGAACGTTACAAACTGCGATCGTTCCAAAGATGTTACGTTCAAAAAATACATAGAATTCTCTCTTTCCTTTTCTCATCTGCCAGCCGTTTGATGGTGAAACCCGCTCTCAAATATTTTCATTTTTACAGCGGGTTCCACGACGGAAAAATTGAAAGTCTCGAGCTAGATTTTACGGGTCTCTTTCACCAAATTTATAGATCGACGTGATTTCCCGAGCCCAGAAATACCTAATACAAATACAACTTTACTTTTTCTCAAATACAATGTAAATTACTCCTTGATCCCAACAACAGGCTCCGCTACGTATCCTTGCTGCTCCTACTGGTTCCGCCCGGCTCCGTCGTCGGAGCTTCCTCTTGGCCGTTCCTGGTGTCACGGTCGCGGCCGCTGCTACTTATTCCTCTTGCTGCGTTGCCGTAGGTTCTCCTTACAGTCGCCCTTTCGCTGGCCACACGCAGGCCCCCCTACCTTTCAAAACACGGTCCTCCAACACAACGCTACAAGCTTCCTAACAAGACTCGTCCCGATTCGGTCCAATGGGCCTCCTTATATACTGTTTAGAGCGACCGTTAATCCTCCTGAATTCTGCTCCTGCCGTTAATCCTCCTTCCAAGATCTCGCCACTTTCCCATTGGCGGGTCGCCGTCCGTGCTCCCGGCCACGGACCTCTGCTGTTGCTATGCGGACTTCGAGGGCCCGCTACACTTTACGTCGCCCCCTCCACTCCTTGCTACTCAGTTGACGCTAGCCCCGTCTCGAGAACCGTTACGTTCCACGTCTTCTCTGCTTTCTTCCGGCGCGCTGCCCCCCTCACTGCTCCTTCTGTCTTGCGGCCTTTCGCACCCCCTCAACCCCCCTTCCTTGACTTTGCCCCATGCCACCTATCTTAGCGTGTGGGGAGACTAAATCTCTTTACAACTTCCTGAATACAGAGAAAAAAAGCAATAAAGGAAATTCCTGAGATGGGCGAAATGGTGACAACTTGTAGCAAACTAGTGAAGTGTTCTGCCTTTTCAAATCAATAAAAGCCAATTGTTTGGATATTACCAACATTTCAATTGAAAAAAATCAAATAGGAAGATTGAAAGGCCTTCACATGGGTGAACTTTTATCTGTTGAAAAAATTTTGGAAGTTTTTGAAAGCGTAAAAAAAAACTTGAGGCAAGTAAATACCCAACGATCCTAATAATACCCAATATTACCAAATTAAAAACATAATGTTTGAGCGGCACAAATGATTTAAAAATATGGGAGTCCCTAAAGATTGCCCTATATTTACATATTTTGGGTGTAATAGAGCCAAATATTGAAATGTGGCACAAAATCGCCCGTTTTTTTTCGCCAACGAATAAATTAATAAATTTTAAAGAAAGTGAAATTAAAAGAACCAACATCACAGAAGCCGAGTGGAATGTGGAAGACGATGAAATTTTTCCGTTTCCGTTAAAGAAGCTTCAATAAGCCAGAATATCGACAATGTTGGAAAAAAAATAAAAGGGTTTAGCAACATAAATGTCCCCTAGCAACAAATTTTGATTGCTCAGGTTGGTGGAATATGCACAAAAATTAATTCCCCCTGTTGCATAAAACCAGCTGCAAAATATTTTGCATACCAGCCAGTAGCGCATGCTCCGAAAGAGTTTTTTCGGTTGCAAGAAACTTTCAAATAATATAAAAAAATTCTGATAATATATATGAAATAATTTTTTACATTCCAATTTAAATTGGAGTAATGTATGTAAATGTATATGTATGTGTGTAAATTAAGCGAAATTATAATGAATATTACCAAAACAAATAACAATGACTTGCCTCCACTTTTCAACTATTTTTTTTTCAGCGTCTAAAAATACAAGCTAATATGCTTACTTGCATCATACATTCTAGAA